GTGCTAAAAGTGAACCATGTTATTGATGTTTTAACTCACTAACATAGTTTAATTAACTAACATAGTTAATGTCATCAAGACAAAAGCACTGGATCAAACGACAGTGATGATGCGAGTGATGTTTTATTTACAGTGAACAAACCAAGGTGAAGGCAGAACTAAACAAACCTAAACTGGAAAAACTAACAGACAAATGTAAAAACATAAGGACAGTAGGGAAAACAGAGATGACACGAAGAAGGCTGGGCAGAGAGACGCAGAGTAACACTGATTAACATGGAGTAATGCAGACGACAAGGAGCACAGCCTGACACCCACTATATATACACACACAAGGTAATCAGGAAATGGCACACAGGAGGAGACACAACTGGAACTAATGGGCATAACGAGACACAGACCTACAAAGTAAAACACAAAACTCCGGAAAACGAACACAGAAGGAAGACACAGGTAGGGACTCACCTGAACTCACACGAATACCAAACCCAAAGAATTAACACAAAATACAAGCTGACACCAAAATGAAACAAAACGCTGGGTCAATGACCCAGGACCATGACATGTTCCACCGATAAGACAGTGTCACGTTTGTTTTCTTTAGATCAGATAAATCCAGATTCTCGATGAGTGATAATTTTTCAATAAACTAATGAAAACATTTTTTTCAATAACTTCACTAAACAAATTTACTATGTGACTTTTAATCAATTTAGGGGTGGGAGAAAATGTCTTGTTTCTGCAGCTCAGAGTCGCACGCTGACCCTACAGCACAGGAAAGACAGGACTCTCCAGGATCACAACTGATTAAAAATAATGTTTTCATTTCCATTCATGCTCTCAAATATTTAAAGGAAAGCCATTTAATTTTCAGTGACAGTAATGTTGACAGTGTTGCTTCTCCCGCCACTTTTAGTTTCACACCAGTATTTTCCACTGCCTGCTGGATAGGCTCTGTGAATGGTACAATATACTGTTGATCTCTGCTTAACATCACATGCTGATAGAAATCCCTCAGTATTCCTGATCCCTCTGAACAGACTCGTACTGAAAAATTCTGCTGTCAGTCTGGAACAATATGAAGATCTGCATCTGAGAAAAAAAACGAAGAGAAAGTTACAAATCTGAACCTTTCTTTCACAGACGTCATTAAATTGGTATAAGTGGTGCAAAAGAACAGGTTTATGCAGTGTGCCGAAACATTTATTGTAGGTTAAAATTTAGATATAGTCCAAGCTTAATTCATATGGAGAAAAAAAAGGAATAAAAGATTATGAAAAAAAATGATTGCTACATACTGCTGTGCTGGACACATGCACTCAGCAGAATGAAAACAAAGCATGGCGGCAGAGATAAAAGCAACGAAAGTGCTATATAAATCCAATCCATTGTTATTATACACTTTTCTGGTTTGGAAATTTCATTGGAATGAATCCTAAAAATGTGAAACATAACTTACTCCAGTGTGATGACTTTTATGTAAAGAATGTTATGCATGTGTGATCCATAATGTCCACAAAATACCCACAGAACAACTAGCTGCACAGTACACTTTTTAGCTTCAGAGGGGAACCTGTGAAAACAGAAAATGGATTTTCAAGCGTTCATAATACAAGTAGTATTAAATACACCTCTTAAAAGTGGTTCAGCTTACAATGCAGGGAACTGATGCATCAAAAATCGCAGGACAACCTTCGCCTTAAAATAAAGAAATAACCTTTTCTTTCATCACTGTAATTGGCCAATTGCCATTTTGATGTGTTGATACTTGGTCTAGATATGAAGCAGTGTATATCTACCCAGAATTTATTAGGACACATGGAAGGTATCGCCGAATATCCTGTCAGCCTGAAAAATAGTGGATTACTTAAAAAGGAAAAAAAAAAAATCTTGGGGCGTTAGGGGTGTTTGTCCCATGATCGTTCCTCACGTTTTCACCAAATCAAAAATTGACCTAAACAAATGAAATGTTCAGTTATATGGCTGTATGTTGTGTACTTGATATAAAGTACAGTAGCAAGTAAACATTTATTTTTATTGTCACTACTTCAGTATGCTACAGAATCAAATCAGCAACACATTTCAATTTATCTAGTAGAAAAAAGTGTGAACAGCACAAACATCTTTCTTTTTAAAGCAAACATTAAAGAAATTCAATTTAATTAAATGTTATTTACACAGTGCCAAATCATAATAGTCACTTCAGAAAACAGAGAAAACTCTGCGAAAACTCAACGATCTGCTATGAGCAAGTACTTTGGTGACAGTGGGAAGGAAAAGCTATCTTTTAACACTCCTTTGCTTTGCTCTGATACCATATTTTTCATTGTTTCAAGCTCCTTTATTTAGTCATCACCTTTAGCTGTTCTAACAGCCATTTTTACTGGACGTTTTCCTGCAATCTGTATCTCAAACTAGCTCACATGGGTGTAACACTGATTACACAGGACAGGCTATATGATGGAGTACTTCATCAGACCTTCTCTTGATCAAACAGCCCTTACAGACCCAAAGGGCTAGCTCATTGCAACAGGTCTGATTTACTTTTGACAGTAATGGGCAATAACACACATAAGCTCACAGCGCTGCTGATATTGAATTAGGTAGAAAGGTTCATTGCAACATACCATAGTACTATTTGCACTTGATTAATGTGTTAACCTTTCTTCAGTTTAGGGTAAATAACATTTCTGAATGTTCTGCTTTGAAGCTTATATTTTAACATTAACATCATGAGGCCAATCAAATCCATCCGTCCATTTTCTGAACTACTTTTCATCTTCATGATATCACGTTAATATATAACGCAATAATGTAAATGTGGTGGCAGGGTGTGGTTTGTGGCTGAGCTCCAGGGGACAGGTGGTGCAGTATGTTCAGAGGTCAGTAC